AGGGAGCCCGATGCGGGACTCGATCCCAGGACCCTGGGATCATGACCTGAGCCGAAGGCAGACGCTTAACGACTGAGCCACCCAGGCGCCCCTATTTATTTATATTTTTAAAGATTTTATTTATTTATTTGACTGAGACACAGCGAGAGAGGGAACACAAGTGGGGAAGAGGGAGAAGCAGGCTTCCTGCTGAGCAGGGAGCCCCATGTGGGGCTTGATCCCAGGACCCCGGGATCATGACCTGAGCCGAAGGCAGATACTTAACGGCTGAGCCACCCAGGCGCTCCCCCAGCCCCAGTACATTTAAACTGGCTAAAGTGATTCCTTAAAAATGTTTCCATGATTTGGTCTCTGTGCAAAGTGTTGTGAAAGTCATAGATAAGGGAATATTTGTGGTCACCGGGACCTATTTTAGTCTTTAGATAGTCTGAAAAGGGCTCAAATACTGGTTTAGGGTAGTGGTTTCACTTCTGTGCTAAAGGGCAGCTTGGGCAAAAGTTTCTTCCCCTCCCTCCCTTCCTTTCTTCCTATTTTATTTTTAAGTAATCTCTACACCCAACATGGGTCTCAAACTTACAACCCTGAGATCAGGAATTGCGTGTTCTACCAACTGAGCCAGCCCAGCACCCCAGTGTCTTCAGATTTCTTAAGTAATTTTGGTTTCTTTGGGCTAAAGAACTGTGTGTGTATGTATGGGGTGGGTGTGTGTGTGTGTCTATCTTTGTCTTGACAAAGGCAAGTTTCCCCACCGTATAAAATGGAGAATGAAGATAAATATAATAGTCTTAATGTTTTAGCTTAAACTGATGAAGTGATTTTTTTAATCTTTGTTTTGTTGACATTATGCCAGTGTGTAAATTTATGTGATTTTAAAATAATGTTTTTGAATCTAGATCAGATCAAGCATCGGTTTCCCCCCTGTCAGCTGAAAGCGACTTCTCAAGTTTCTTCAAGATGCCTGCAGCACTTGTGGAGAACAGTCAGGTTATCTGTGAAGTCTGGGCCAGCAATCTAGAAGAAGAGATGAGGAAGATCCGAGAAATTGTGCTCAGTTACAGTTATATTGCCATGGTAAAGAGTTCAGCTCTGTTTGACTCACTTTCTACTATGGACTTAGGGGATATTCAGTGTGAGATTTTTGAAAGCAAGGATTATACTAAAGCCATGGTAAATTAAACTTGGTGGAAGGTTGTGATGCTTTTATGAAACATCAAGGTAGTGTGTCTGAGAAGGATGTAACCTCTAGTAGCTTAGATTTTCTGTAATGTTACTTTGTGTTTAATAGTGTTTAAGGCAGAAGTGATGTCAGCCATAGGGCACATCTGTCCCGCAGATATGGTGAATTTGACAGTGTTTAAAAATGGCTTTTAAAAATTAGCTATCAGCATGTAAAAATTAAGAGATCTCTTTTAAAGTCCAGATATCTGGCATCTCTGGAAAAAAATGGAAGAGCTGGCATTATAGGATTCACAGTCCTGCCTGATACTGAGTGGCTGGAGAGGCAGATGTGTGTGTCATGGTGATATTAGGGCCTCTTCTAGAGGAGCCGTGCACTGTCTAGTTTGCTTTAGTCCCTGTTACTCATAAGCAGTAAGTCTTTAGCCTTGTATTTAAAACCGTCTGTGATCTTGTTCCAGGCTTTTTACTCATGGTAAATGTAGCTACTTTTTTTTTCTGAATGGCTGTTTCATTTCCCTATTTATATTTTTATTCATACATTGTTCTCAACCTAAGCTTTTTTTTTTTTTTAAAGATTTTATTTATTTATTTGAGAGAGGGAGAGCACAGAGGAGGCATGAGAGAGAGAAGCAGGCTCCCTGCGCCCGACAGCCCGATGTGGGGCTTGATCCCAGGACCCTGAGGTCATGACCTGAGCCAAAGGCAGCGGCTTAACCCACTGAGCCACCCAGGCGCCTCT